GGGACCCCCCCCCCCACTACAGGAAGTGAAAGTAAATATGAGTGAGCCAGAAGAGATGAGCAAAGCGGCAGCAAAGGATGGCGGTTTCACACTCCTCTGGTCTCAACCCAGGAAGCCCATCCTGCCGTCTCAGCACAAGGGACACTTAAAATATCTTCACATTCACTAACAGCCATCCCCAATAAAAACGACTGCACACCAAGTTGAGAGACTCTCCAGGAATGGCTTCAGTTAGTTTCCACCATCAGGCCCATAAGAACTTGTAGATGGTAACTAAGAGCATGCACCATAATTTATTTCAAATGGATTACTATTGTGTGTGTAAGCACCGTCAAGTTGCAGCTGACTCATGGCAGTCCCATAGGGTTTTCAAGGCAAGAGACTAATGAAAGTGGCTTGCCATTGCCTTCCTCTGCATAGTGGCCCTGGACTTCCTTGGGGGTCTCCGATCCAAATATCAACCAGGGTTGACACTGCTTAGCGTCCAAGATCTAACAAGATTGGGGCAGCCCGGGCCACAGGGAGCTCCAAAAATTACCATATTATTTGACACTAAAATCTTCCATTTCCCATCTGATGAAGTGAGCAGCGACTCACGAAAGCTCATATCCTGCCACAATTTCTGTTAGTCTTTAAGGTGCTATTGGACTCTTGTTCTTTTCTACCGCTACAGACAGGCTAACACGGCTACCCATCTTGATCACCCTCCTCCACTAAACATGATATTGAATTGAATTTTAAGTTAAAAGTATATATGGGGGACAATTAGGGACAGGGTCCCCCATGGCAGCCATTTGGTAGTGGGACCCACTATCCCTTTCTCAAAATTTCAGAAAGTGCCCGCAAGCTCATCAAGGTATAGGATGCCTGTTTGGGGAGTGGAGAACTGATTTTCTACCATTTCCCAAGGGGAAGGCATGATTAAAAAATTTTTTTTTAAAGAGTTGCACCACAGAATATGGTTCCCTCAAGCAGTGGGTACCAGTGCTACATGTGAAGTCCCAGGACTGTGGGAGAAAAAGGGAAAATGCCACTTAATTTCACATGGTGCGCCCATCTCTGTACTGAAGTGACCCCACCCATGCAAGCAGAAATCATTTTAGGAAGTAACTGCTCCTCTCTCTTAACTGTTGTCACGTCCGCCCTGTGACCTAAAGCAGCCAAGACCCCCCCCCCAGGAGACGGCTCTTCCAAAGCGGGTCCATTGTTCCACTGATGGGCGCTTTCTTTGTCTGAGCCCCATTATTCATTCTTGCCAACACAAACCTCTTCAGTGCTGTCTTATCTACAGACCCTGGCAGTGCCCTCACACAAAGGGCCCGGGGTGCTATGAGAACATCTGCTGAGCCGCTCTGAAAGGGCTCTACAGACAAGCAGGGGTCAGAGAAAGCTTCTCTACCCTGGCGCTTGCTGCCCAAGGAAGCCTGCCCTACTGTGTGCCTCGTGAAAGTGGATTTCAGTGCTGAGAGCAGCACTCTGTCCTCTTTGTGTTCCTCACTGTAACTTTCAAGATTTAAGACTGGGATGTATGTGTGCTCTAATATTGTCTGTTCTGCCTACTCTCAGAGGATCAGCGAACAAACTTTGAGGCTTCAATGCCACACACCTTCCTTAAATGTATGGGGGAAAGAGCAGAAAGGATGCCCATCAGTGCTTAAAAATAGGTATGCAAGGAGCTGTCAACAAGGAATGCATGCATGTTGAAGCAGTGGTTTCCTTGCAATACCCACAGAAGTGTGGCTTGTACACCCCCTGCTCCCATCAGAGCCTCTGTGCTTTTACTTAAATGTGCATCTGCCACTCACAACTGAGGCAGGTACATTTTGCCCTGTAAACTTGTACACTTTCCAGCCTGAAGTTTAAACAGTAAGGTGTAAACTGGCACTCAGTGTGTGGCCTGTGAGGGGGACCGATCTCTTACACGAAACAGACCTCCCCACTCCTGGCATTTAGGACTTCCACTGCTGAGCTTTTCTCTCTGCACCAGCTTCTTCTCACATCAGAAAAGGCCATTTCTACACCAAGCAACAATGTCTAGATATGTGGTGATTTGGCTGGAATAATCAAGTGAGCATGCACTGTCCTTTTCGTTGTAATGGATGTGGCCTGAAAGACCTTGCCACAGGGTCACGTCACTCTTTCTCCTGCCAAGAGACAGCAACTGAAGCCCTTCTTAGGCTACTCCCTCCAGGGGGACTTCTCCCTGCACGGAGTGTGGTTGCAGAGCTTCCACACGACTCTCTTTGTGCCAGATCAGAGGTAGAAGTGCTGTAGGAAGATGCTGCACTCATAGCAACACAGGAAGAGGATGGAGCTAACTCCGCCTTCAAAATGGCAGAGCTAATCTTTGCTTTTCCTACTTCCTTTAAGGGGGGCTTTTTTTTTTAGCTGCTTTGCACCACACCTCACCTGGGAATGAGACAGCTTGTCATGACTGTGGTGTGGGCACTTCTGGGGTGGGTGGGCAGAGTCATCCCTGCCTGCTCTCACTCCACTTGCTGCGGCTTCCTCAGGGTGCGTGTGTGCATGGGTGGCTTTTCCTGGCCTTGCATGGAAGTTGCCTTCCAGCAGATGAGGTAGGGTTGCCACTGCAATGTTCCCTCTAAGCTATGGAGTCTCGTGAGCAAAAATTCTACTTTAAGAACATAAGAGATGCCAATCTTGGATCAGGCCAAAGGCCCATCCAGTCCAACACTCTGTATCACACAGTGGCCAGAAATACCAGTGCCATCAGGAGGTCCACCAGTGGGGCCAGGACATTAGAAGCTGACCCCCCCAAGCACCAAGATGACAGATCATCACTTGTGAGCTACTGGCATTAAAGTTGTGAGCAAGAGATTTAGCTACTGCATAAATTAGTTTGCTCTGGAGCCATCCTTCCTGAGCTAAGACAAAAAATGTGTGAGCTGGAGGCTAACAAACTGTGAGCTAGCTCACTCTAACTCAGCTTAGAGGGAACACTGGTTGCAAGGTCTCCCTGACCACTGGCAGGGGATGGGGAGTAGGGTTGCCAGATCTAGGCTGGGAAACTCCTGAAGCTTTGGGAAATGGATCCTGGCGAGGACAGGGACCTCAGTGGTCAGCCACTTGTTCCAGGGGTCAGCCCTCCAAAGCAGCCATTTGTTCCAGGGGAACGGATCTCAGTAGTCTGGAGAAGAGCTGTAATTCCAGGGGATCCCCAGGTCCCACCTGGAGGCTGGCATCCCTGGTGAGCAGCCTGGGAAGGGGGAGAGCCAAGGAATTCTGGGTATGCTTCATGCCTGGATTAACTGACTGAAAGCACTACGGTTATTAAATATAGAAAAGAACAAGCCCAGTAGAGAAAGAACCAGAAAAGGAAAGCCTCACCTTATCAACTGCTGGGAATTCTTTGCAAATGGCACCAAAGACGTAGAACAGGTGTTATCTGATGGACTTCCACATTTATCATCAAGACAGACCCTTGGCAAAAGCTCCTAAGCAAACCCAGCAGCCGCAAGGTATTTTTTCTTATGGATGGATAAATAGATCAACAGGCCAGGAGGTAGAAAATAGTTGCCCCCACCAGTGGATGGAAACAAGCAGAGTGAGTCCCCAAGGGTCTGCGGGTGGACTGCTGTTATTTCCATGTTTCAGACATGATCTACGGTCAAGGAGTGAATAGGAAGGTGTGGGACACCAACCGGTTCGAGATTTAGAAAGCCAAGCGGACTCCCAAAGGAGGAAAATAGGCCAGAAAATCCAGTGGACGACAGTGTGAAGGGATGCACTCTGGGGCAGAAAAAATTTGCAGATACTATAACAGAGCCTGATGGGGCAGCAACTACCTAAGAAAGGGACTACAGTGGAGAACTCAGATCAAATGAACAAAGCTCCATATGTAGGCTGGAGGTAAAAATGCCAAATTCCATGTTAGGCACCACAACAGGGGACCCACAATACTCACAGAGGGAATCTCTTTCACCTCTTAGCTTTCTCCCCCCCCCCTCACTACTGCCAGGCCCACCTTGGCTTCCTCCCCCAACCATCAGCATTTCAGCAATGCTGCTGGGCCCACCACAGCTTCCAGCCACCAACACCAGCAGGGGTGACAGAGGTGGGTGCAACACTTTTGGGAGGGGGCAATTTAAACTTGGCAATTTAAACTTCCCAATGTAATATTTTAACCAGATTTTTCTGCAAACCATTTCAGATTTTTCTTCCCAATGTAATATTTACACAGTTTCTCAATTTGCAGAACTATTTGGATTATGTCAGCATGGCTCCAATCTGCACATTTAGGTATCCACAGATCAGGCCAGGACTATTAGACTATAAAATTAAGGAAGGGGCTGAAAACAAAATGGCATCTATGGTATTGCCTCCATGTTAAATCAGTAGCATGTCCGCATTTGGAATACCGCATATCTTCCTGATCACTCGGCGCCTTCCCCATCAAGGCAGGCTAAAGCAGTTTTGGATTTTGAAAAATGATCGAGGGGGGGGGGGAGGCGTAAAGTCATTACGTAGCCGGGGGAGTGAAACGTCTCTCTTATCATATTCGAACGCACCCAATGAAATTGCCTGGCGGTAGATTTAGGACAGCGAATTGCTCGGGTTACAGAGGGCCTGCCGGAAGACCTGCAAAGTAACCTCTCGTGGCCCAGAGCAAAGCCAGACAAACCCCAGCAGGCCCTTTAGAGTGGTGCCATTCGCGGAACCCCGCGCTATCCGGCCCGGGCACCTGTCCGTAAAGACTGGCAGAACAGAGTCTGTCAGGCAGAGGAAAGGACCCCCCCCCCCCGGTTTGCTGCGTCCTTCCAAGCCCTGCAAAGGGCCACCAGTTACTAGCCCTCGCTTTGGTAAGATCTCCGGCTGGCACTAACTCGGCGCCTACCTGGGAGTTATTCAACAGGAGCTCAGGAGCGCGCTCCTCGCCGTACTGAAGTCCCTTCCCGCCGCCCGGAAGCCCAAGACTGACCTGCACTCTGCACGTGCTCAGAGGTACGCTTGCCTGTGAGTGGGCGCGCGCGCCGTCCTACCTGCATGGAGTCTGCGCTGATGATCTCGCCGCCGAGCCGGAGGCCGAGCTGCAGCGCCAGCCGGGACTTGCCGGTGCCCGTCGCCCCCAAGATGACCACAAGAGGCAGCTGCCGCGCCGCCGCCATAGCTAGCTTGGGCCGCGAGGAAGTCGCGCAGGCGAACGGGGCCTCTGTAGTGCCGCCGACCCGGGAAGAGGAAGGGAAGAGGCGGAGCGCTGGAGGGCGGCTGGGCCGGACCGAGCGGTGGCCTTAACTCTCCAGGGTGGGCGGCGCAGGGTGCAGCTGCGCAGCCTTAGATCTGGCCCGGGCAAGGAGCTTCAGCGGTCCGTCGCTTACGAAAGAGCCATTGCCGCCCGGGGATGGATACAGCCGCACATGCACTTTGCACGTTGCCAGAGGCACTTCTGTGGGTTTTTTTAAACAGCAGAACAGGAAGATGCTGCACACAGGCTCAGAGGCACGGTTTCCTTTGGAGCATTTCTTGGAGAAAAGAGAGAGGCGCTGTCTCTTGTTATGGATGGATTCTCTGCACATGCTGAGATGCCAAGCGCTGCCAGAATGTGTGTATACGGGTGGGTGGTGTTTGTAACACCTTGTAGATCCGGATCTAGAAGGCCAGGCTCCAAGCCCTGACTCCACTTGTGGTCCTGGGTCTCTCTCCCTCTCTTAATCCCCCCCCCCCCCGCCTGGGAATAGTCATGGAACAGGACACTTGTTTTGTGAAGGGGGGAATGGCGTCAAAGTGGTCTTTCCCTTCTTCTAAAACACCCTTGAAATGATAACAAAATCAGATGGGTTTTAAACTCCCCAAATGGATACCTTTGTTCCTATTCCTTTTTCAGAAACTGGAATGTTACCTTGATAGTATCATCATAACCCTGCATGAAATGTGATAATATTTATTTGTCATAAAAAGCTCCAGACAAAATAACTTGGACCAGAAGAATGTGGATGAACCTGGAGGAGAAAAAAGGCAGACACGTGAAATCCCAAACCTTGTTCCCCTGGATTACACCCAGGCCCCATCCAAGCCTCATCTGTGTTGGTTTTCCTTTCCAATGGTGACAAACCAAGGTTTTCCTGTCCTCTTACTAGGAAAAAGCCAGGAGTAAGACAACTGCCCTGTTTTCCACTTGGTGTGAAAAGCTGGGGTTGGATTACAATCAGGGCAGAAGTCAGGCTGAACTGTGAGCCAAATGCAAGCTTTGGGGAAAGGTGGCTTGGTACCTTCAAAAATAGACCACCAGGCTACTCAGCCATGGTGTTGCCAGCTGGGGAAATTCAGTGCACGCTCTTATCTGTTCTCCCTCATTGCTTGGATTTCATTCCATTGCAGGCCTGAGAAACGTATGATGGCAAATGATGGCTCCTAGCTACAGTTACCAACCTGGAGATGCCCTGGAATTGCAACTAATTTCCAGACTACATGGTTCAGTTTCCCTGGAGGAAGTGGCTGCTTTCCAGAGTAGACTCCACAGTATTATACTCTCCTGAGGTCCCTCCCTTCTCCAGGCTCCCCCCACAAATCTCCAGGAATTTCCCAAGCCCAGTTGGCAGCTGTGTCCTAGCTGATCTCATGCATTGCAGATATAGATCATCCTTAGTCATTCTTTGTGTCTTTATTTATCTGTTACAACTTTTATACCCACCTGTCCCCGTGGCGTTGTGCAGATGCCTTAACTGTCTTGCCCTTGAGACCATCAGCTTTGTCTGGGGTTTTTTCATCATATCTGTGGGGTGGGGCTGATAGTGACTGGCAGACAATGGTAGAAAGAAATTTTGACGAGGGGGCCAAGTGAGGCGAGGGATTCACATGGCAATAATACTAGAAGTGGGAGAATTGTATGTGGCACCTGGGTGGGACGCCCTTGGGAAAGGATGAAGAGATTAATTTGTGATCAAAGACCAGGAGAAAGGAATGGTTACTGTAGCAACAGAAAAAGTCAGGAAGGAAAAAAGATGGGGAGACGGTTACCAGGGTGATGAAAGCTATTGCCAAGGTAACAGAAAGGGTTCTGTGATTTTCTGCCATGGCAACAGAGGGACGGGAGACGGCTCTTCGCCTAGCAACACACATCTCTCACCATGGCAACATGGAGAACAGGGGTCCCCTGTTCAAAAGCGAGACATGTTATTGGAGGAGATAGGATTATAGCAGCCACAGCAAAGCTGGCAGCAAAAATTTACTAGTCTGGGTGCGGACCTACCTCCCTGTTCTCTTACAGGAAAATGATATGAAAAATATATGATGCTTCAGCTCACCCGGGTTTTTGTTTTTAAAAGGCTTACCCTGCAGGGAAAAAATGCTTCATTGGCAAAAGTGTAAAACTGTGCTGTTATGGAATAAGGCTTTTATATATATATATATATATTTATATAAGTTTTTATAAGCCAGTCGAATCCGACTCTAGGGTTGCGGTGCTCATCTCCGTTTCAAAGCCGAAGAGCCAGCGCTGTCCGAAGACGTTTCCGTGGTCATGTGGCCGGCATGACTAAACACCAAGGTGCACGGAACGCTGTTACCTTCCCACCAAAGTGGTACCTATTTATCTACTTGCAATTTCTTGCTTTCGAACTGCTAGGTTGGCAGGAGCTGGAACTAGAGACAGGAGCTCACCCTGTCTTGCGGCACCCGGGTCTTGAACCACTGAACTACTGACTTTCCACAGCCTGCAGTTCAGCGTCTTAACCACTTGAGCCACCGCAGCTCCACATATATATATATAAACACACACACACAAATATAAAAAGCCTTATTCCATAACAGCACAGTTTTACACTTTTGCCAAGGAATATATCTACACACACAAACTGGGGCTCGTTAATAGCCAAAATGACTGGTGGAGCAGGGCTATAGCATTACTTTGCAGCGCATACCTACTCTGCAGACTGCTGGTCCATGGTTCAGTCCCTCACGAAAGGATCCCAGGTTGCCCAGCTGGAAAAGATCTCTCTCTGCTTGAAGATAGTTTCAGGTGGGTAACCATGTTGGTCTGCGCTAGTGGAAGATGAAGGTACAAGTCCTGTAGCATGTTAAAGACCAAGATTTCCAGGGTATAAGCTGTCCAGAATCAAAGCTGGCATCTGAAGAAGGGAACTTTGACTCTCAAAAGCTTATTATCGCAGGAATCTTGTTGGTCTTTAAGGTGCTGCTGGACTCGAATCCTCCTCTGCTTGAGACTCTAGAGAGCTACATGCACAGCAGACAATGTTGGGCTCAGAAATTGGCAGCATTGTATTGTCACATGTGCTCTGAACAGGAAGTCAGTTTGCCCCCAAGAGAGACACCCTTCCAAGGAAAACGAGACTGGCGCAAGAAATCATTTTGGTCCAAGGGCTGAAAAAAGGCCACATCTACTTGTAACTGTGTTAATGTTTTGGAAAACAATGGGGGGGGGGGAAAGCCAGGGCTGTGTGTGGTTAGACATACTGCATAGCTTGTCTGTAAGGTAAAGGTTCCCTTGCTCGAAAGCCGGTTGAGTCCGACTCTATGGTTGCGGTGCTCATCTCCGTTTCAAAGCCGAAGAGCCAGCGCTGTCCGAAGACGTTTCCGTGGTCATGTGGCTGGCATGACTAAACACCAAGGCGCACGAAACGCTGTTACCTTCCCACCGAAGTGGTACCTATTTATCTACTTGCAATTTCTTGCTTTTGAACTGCTAGAGTGGCAGGAGCTGGAACTAGAGACGGGAGCTCACTCCGTCTTGCGGCACCCGGGTCTCAAACTGCTGAACTACTGACCTTCCACAGCCTGCAGTTCAGCGTCTTAACCACTGTAGATCTTGGCTTTTTTGCATGCTCAGGAGAAGGGATTAAAGGTAATGCTTTCCATGCACACATTTAGAAGTGTGGCTGCTATGGATGAAAAGAATGCCCTGGACAATATCTGGTCCTAAAAGATGCAATGAGTTGGAGCTCAGTGGGGCCTGAGTGCACCAAGAGTGCATTTTCTCTGAACATTACAACAGTTGCAATGGTAAGTAATTCTCGCTCTATGAGACACGGCTGCGGTCACACAGAGCATTAGCCACACTACAGAGATGGAAGATAGGCGGATTGTCCAGGCGCGATCACACCGCCACATCTGGGAAGCGTAGAGCTCCCGTGGCTCACCCAAGGCTTCCTGCCGAAGATGCAGCTTAAAAAACTAGTACCTCTGAGGTACTAGTTTCCAGAAACTGCAGGGCAAGGGCGGGCGTCTGATCGCGCGCGCGACCCTGTCCCCTCTCAAAAGGTTTTATTTTTCAAGTCTCCACGGGATGCACACAAGCACCCAACGGCGCATGCGCACACCTCCCTCCCGCGGTGCATGGCTTACTTCTAAGGAGGGGGGGGGCTTTCCGGCTGCTGCACCGCTTCTCCCGGCTGTTGCTTATCCGGAGCCTTCCCTGTTCGCACTCCCCCCTCCCTGGACAGGTATAACTCATGTGCGCGCGCAGAGCCCCCTCCTCTTTTCCATACCCCCCCCACACACTCCTGGCTCGACCTGCTCGAAAGGAACTCTCTGCACTGGGCAGCAGAGGGGGAGGTGCAGGGGGGGCGTGGCGGGAGGGCGGCCAGGCTGAAGCTCCTCCTGGAGGGGACTGGACGGAGCAGACAGTTTGCATTCCTCTGCAGCCCTGGAAAGGGTTAAACCCGCGGAGCCTTTTGCCAGTGAGGCAGCTTCTTTGCCACGCTCCCCCCCCCCGCATTTTCCGGCCCGTGTGACCGGGGCCACGATCTGGCTGGCTTCCAGCTTGCCCCTTCTGGCTCTCAGAGGCATCTGTAGCCTGGCTCCTTTTCAGGTACACACCCAGAGGGTAGGGAACCAGGCATAGCATGCAACTTCAATCCCTGAGATGGCATCCACTGCCACCCAGACAGTTGCCACTGGTCACAGAGCGAGCCTTATGGTGGGAGAGGTGGGGAGTGGCAATGGCTTCTGCTCCCCAGAGAGGAGGCAACACCACAGCACAAAGCACCCAATAATCTCCTGCATGTGGCTCTTCATTGGAGGAGGTTTAGCACCAACGCCATGCACCTGTGTGGCACTGTGCCAGCCATCAGAATGAATCTGGCACTCACAGGGACCAGGGCCAGTCCAGAGGGAGCTCCAGTTCATGATAAAACAGAGAGGAGGACAATCTAAGCTGCTCTGGAGTTTCAACTGGAGGAAAAGACAAGGTATAAATCTATAATAATAAAAGGAGGCATCTGTCTGTCTATGGTAGGCATAACTCATCATAAAATAAAGCCAGACATTTGAAAATTGGCCAACACTTCAGAATGATTGTGGGAGTTGCACTGCCAAAGGGGAAGAGAACTGAAACATCCCAGTCTACTTTATCTTTAGAACCTCTATGTTATTTGCAATGGAAACAAAGGTCCTCTGTTTGTGGCAGGTATAACTCATCAAAAAATAAAGCGAGGAGTCTCAAAATTGGTCACCGGTTTGGAATATCTGGGCCCAGAGTAGCTCCAGAAAACCCTTATGGTGTTTGCAGTGGAAGCAAAGATTTACTCATGAGATGCCAGGAAGGCAACACACAAGGAGGAAAATCTCCAAGTGACAAAACAAAAGGGACTTAAAAACTTCTTGAGCTATCAGAGCCAGTGTTGTGTAGTGGTTATAGTGTCTGAACGGGATCTAGGAGACCCAGTCTAAATCCCACCTATGCCCTGGAAGCTTTCTGGATGAACTAGGGCCAGTGACACACAAAGTCTAACTTACCTCCCAAGATTGTTGTGAGGATAAAATGGAGGGCAGGAGAATGAGTTAAGCTGGGTTTTGTCCCCATTGATAAGAAAGGTGGCTTATGACGTTTGTAGCCAAAATTCAGTTTGTAACAGCTTGCCAAAAAAGGCCAATCTTTTGCTTCATCTGGTATTGTGACAGCTCTTTAGGTTGGAGGCAGAACTTGTTCCCTATTCAAACTACCATTTAAGTGTCATAAGTGCAAGGGCCTATGAGGTTGGCGAGAGGGCATTCTAATAAAGTAAATGAAAATAATGCAGATGTTACCACTCCAAGTCCGAAAAAACCCTGAAACCAGCCCTTCAGCCTGTCTTTGTTTGATAGCACCCATGCTTTTGGGGTAGAGCACAGAAGCCGTAGTGCCAAACAGAATGGTATGGCATGCTATTATCTGTCTCAGACAGTGAGGGTTGCCTAACCCTGTGTGGTCTAGCAACATTTTAAAGAGAAACAGATGGATAAATCTGTTAGCCTTTAGGTACGAGTCTCACTTTAGCTTTGCCAGTACAGTCTCACACAATTAACGCTCTGGCTTGTCTTAATAAGAAGTTGCCTTCCTAGTTCTGGTCAAGAGCCATCTCATCCAGCATTTGGTTTCCAGCAAATCCCCACCAGATACCTATGGGGCACAAAATTTAGGGCCATCTCCTACTGGTTGCCCCAGTATCTGATATACTGCCTTTGTAAGGGAACGTTCCATTCATTAGTTGTGGAGGCCCTTCCTCCATAAATCTGTGGTATGCAGTGCACAAGATGCTTGTGGGACTGTGGGTATGAGAAGTCCTTGGGCCAAATCTTCAAGGCACATACAGCTGGGGAAAGCAAGCTATACTTTGGAGAAAGACTATAATTCAGTGCACAGAAAGTTCCAGGTTTAAGTCCATGGCACCTCTAATTATAGGGTCTTGGGTAGCTAGGAAAGGCTCTGACTCAAAGTTTAGGAAGCTTGTTTCTCAGCACAGGCAACACTGACCCAGAAGTCTGTCTAGCTAGGACTTAGGTTTTTATATCCCACATGTGCCTTCCAGCTAATGAAGTTTGGAGGCACCTGACCTACATACTAGGTTTTGCAAAATGACCTCTGCCAACTCCCAGCTTCTCCTTAACCCCATAAAACAATGCTTTCCTACCTCCTATCCCTAAACTGACTGGTCATCATGCATGTCAACATACCCTACTGGCTTTGCAAAATGCATGATTGGAATTTCTAGAGATTCTCACTGAATCATCGGGGGGGGGGGAGAGTTCTTTGCTTGGCCTTTTTGCCTAGCTTCAAAATGCTAGCTGTTCCCTGTACAAACACGGTTACCTTTTAGAGAGGCCGATGCGCTGATAGTCCTGAACTGTTTTGGTACTGGATGCCATATTATCAATGTTTATTTACAGCCCAAGACCAATGATGGATACCATATTATTGAATTTCCCACATCAGCAACTTGAATATAAAACTGAAGGTCCCCAGCCCATGTGGGAAACCTTCCCACAAGCAACTCCTTCATACCATCCACTAGCTGTGCTTCTCATCAGAGTTCATTCAACTGTAGAGTGGAGGGCTGCTGTCAACCCCCCCACCCCCACCACAGAAAGGTCACCAGTAGGGTTGCCAAATCCTTTCAACTCACCAGCGGGGGAGGCTCAGTCCCGGCCGGGAGCTGGGTGTTCGTTCTTGCGTCACCAGAAGTGACGTCAGACATCGCTGATGTTGGGGGCGTGGCTGAGCTCGTCGGGGGGGGGAACATATGGTTCCCCCCCCCCGATGAGCTCAGCCACGCCCCCAACGTCAGCGACGTGGCTGCGTGACGCAGCTTCGGGGGCGGGGTTTCCCCCGGGCCCGGATTCCTCCGGGGCTCCGAAGCGGGGGATTCCCCGCCCCCCGGGCACATTTGGGAACCCTAGTCACCAGCTTTTGGCAAGAATTAGTTGCTCACTGGTATTCAGGTCATCTAAATGAAAAAAATGATAATGTTGTTCTGGGACACAGGCTCCCCCATATCTGTGTTGGGGGAGAAAGACAGACAAAATTTCATCTTTTGCAACTCCTTTATTTACAAAGCCTGAGGTAACAAAGAAAGTGCTAAGTCTGACTGCACAGCCTTACAACTCAGAAGTAGGCCAGTCAAGGGACACCTGAGAGGGCCTTGCTGAGAGACCAGTGGAGAACAAGCAAGTCCGGCTCAGCAGAGATAAAATCACCATCCATCACCTTGGTCCTGCCTTTCCCTCCAAGGATACAAAGGCTGATGGGTGGGGAGAATTTGCATAAAGGGGGTTGGGGGGGTGAATGGGTGGCCTGACCCCAGCCAGAGGAACAAAAGCTGGCAAAGCAACACTTTTGTATCAGTCCCTTCACTCATGCAGGGGCCTAAGCTCCCCTCCCACCTTGAAAATATTTCCATATAGCCCTTTGTTTAGAGAGAAGGTGGGTGGGTAGAACGGGGAATTCCATTAATCACAGATCCAAAGTCACACCTTCTGTAGGAGAATTTTTTTCTTCAGGCAACAGTAGAAGTGACAGGGTGCCCTCCATCACATTTGGGAAATTATTCCCTCCCCATAAAAGAACCCCACAAGTCCTCTGGTGTTCATATTGTTGGTGTCTGAAATTTGGGACCAGCCAGGAGAATTCCCACTGAATGCTGATGTTAGAAGCCATAAGCAGGAATACATGGTATTATTTGCTGGGGGGGGGGGGGGGAGATATGTAGGCAAGCAGAATTCTCCTCCCCTAGCTCTTCGGAAAACAGTTGAATTAATTTTTTTTAAAAAATGTGCGAAGTACTTTTATAAAATAACATCTAAAAACATTGTACAAAAATACAGCATATTTAAAAAGCCATCCAGTATAAAGAAACAGGCAGTTACAACAATGGGATTCTATAGTATACAAAAATCTAGGTCAAGCTACTATGTGTAGTAAAAAGTGAGAAAGTATGAGGTAAATCAATTCCAAGGTGATCGCAGTGCACTTCCAGTGAAAACAGCTCAGTTCTATGAAGAGGACACACTTTCATCAGTCTTTGAAAAGTGACCACCACCCCAAAGGTGGCAGATTTTGGCTCCCACTAAAGGGCAGTAGAGTTTGATGCAAGACAGTTTGGAACCACAGGGGCCCCATCTGACAGGAAGATCTCCTGCTCATGCCCCATCATAATTAGTAGGAACTGTGCAAGAGTCTATCCCTTCAGGATTGTGTCCTACTTTTATGTCTGTCACAAGGAATCCTAAACCCAGTCTGGGGGAGGTATACCAGTCACAGCTTCTACCTAGCAGGTACCCAGAATTAGGGAAAAACCAGGAGATTCAAACCTTCTTTAAAAACTGCAGCTCTGGTATTCCTCTGTATACACCCTCTAGCCAATCGGAGACCACAAGGAAACAGCACTCCTCAGTGGTTGGGGGAGGGAGGAGATATGTGCAAACAGAAGTGCCCTCAGGGGACAAATCTTGCATTCCTCTTGCTGACAGCTAGGCTTAGAACTGTTGACTCAAGACCCTCCAACAGCATCCCACCCCTCCATTTTTAAAAAAAAGTTTTGTAACATCCAGCTTCATGAAGAGTTCCGGTAAGTATCAAAGCTCGCACAAATGTTTTGTCAATCCGGTTGGTCCTAATAAAAGATATTACCCAGATTTTTGTTCTGTCTCAAAGCACAGCTATTGCGCACACAGCTGAGGAGGCACTCCTCGTCGTCTGGAGCAGGATGGCAGGAAGCTGTGTTGTGTGTGTCAGCTGTAAATGCATTCTGGGAGCTGCAGTGTGGAAAGAGACCACCATCACCACCACCACCATCACAAGAAGTAAGCTGGGTAGGATCCTTGGCATCTAATGCACCCCCCTGAGGTACGAAATCTGTTTCAGAAGCTGATGCTGCTGCAGTTTCAACCACTTCTTCTCTGCCACCATTTGCTGCTCCGTGCTGATGAGGGACTGCAGATACTCGGACGCTTTGCTCAAGATCACCACTTTGGGGGTTTTGGGGCAGTTGGCAAGGCCAGGCACCTGGTCCCTCAATGCCAGGAAACGTGAGCGAAGGTCGTTGCGCCGCTTGCGCTCCAGGTAGTTGTGGTTTTTCCGCTTGGTCACATCCTCGCTGTCCGAACTGGGAGCACTCCCAGATTTGGGGAGGAAAGAGGAGAAACTTTCCACTACTTGCCCTGGGGATCCTGGGCCAGCACCCTCCCCCTCCTCCTCAGCATCCTTCGCCGGCTGGGTGCAGGCTTCTGGAGGAGAGCGGGCTGCGTAGTTGTGTTGCTGCTGGTGGATTGAGATGTGGAAACATTTCATGCATGGATCTGAGGGGTCTGCCCGCACTGTGATGGTGACCGGCTTCCTCACCGCCAGCGACTGCCTTTTCTCCACCGTCACCACATCTATTTCTTCCCCTTCTGTACGCAAGAGAACACAGAACAAACTGTTACACTTCTGGACTCAACAGATCAGCAGGTAGCACACCACCTAATTCCTTATGAACCTTCCCAACCACTACAGTTATCTTTGGAGGCCCTACTTTCGGTGCCCCTGCCTTCTGAGATTAGGTGGGTAGCAACCCAAGAGAAGGGCCTTCTCAGTTGTGGCACCGAAACTCTGAACTCTCGCCCCAGGGAGATTCATCTGTCCGCTGTTGCTGTCTTCCACTAGCAGGTGAAGACTTTTTTGTTTCATTTGGTGTTCCTTTAATGATCCCTCCTTCCTGCCCAGCGCTAATTGTTGTGTTTATGTCTTTGTACATGTTTTAATTACGGTTTTGCTGATGTGTTTTTCTTGCTCATTGGTTTTTAATGGTTTTGAAATGTGGTTTTATTATGCACGTTTAAATTTGTTTGCTGCTTTTGTGGCCCTTAGGAGGGTAAAAGGGAGGATATACATTTTGTAAAATAAAAAAAACTACTTTGCAGGTGAGGGGAAGATACTGATTTTGGCATAAGTGAAATAAAATTGGAAGAGATTGGTAAGGTACACTGCAGCACAACTCTAGAACATGTTCTGACAGGCTTTGCCTCACCTTAAAAAGCACTCAGTTCATGGCTCACAATCGAAAAGAGGTACGCAGAGTCAGAGGGGTGGAGAATGAGACTGCTTCAGTTTTCAAGTAGCCAAGTCTGGCACTTGAGAGACCCTTCTGAGACACCTGGCCTCACTGTGTGCCTCAGGCCTCTGAAAAGCTATGCACTCAGTCACCACCCCAGACTGAAGAAAGGCAAGGAGTATGCACAACCTGCAGCCCCCAGTGGATTCAGGGGACAGCGGCTTTCTTTTCCGATATGTTATTCCTGCATGTATCTAGAAGTCCCAACACTCAGCCCCCCCCCCCCCCCCCCCCCCACCTTCCTATGTAGTTTCTTAGTACATCAGGACATCCACTTTACTCAGAGAGGGAGTGACAGCACATTGGTGTAGAACCTTCTTGGTACAGCCCCTGAATATACTATGAATTCTTACCACCCAGGGCTACCTCTGTTCCTGAGCATTGCTACATTAGGGGTACACTGCAGGGTCGGGGTGCAGAAAGTCTGCACAAGGCACAAGCAAAGTAACCTCTTCCCTGTGACAAGTACGGCTTGCTAGCCCGCATCCCAGGCAGCAATGTTTTGTAAACTGAAGAGGAGCCCTGGGCAATAGTCATTGATGGAGACGGGGAAAGGATGTGGCCCCCTCCCCAAACAAAAACAAAAAGCCCCCACAAGGCAGTTTACCAGCTTAAAACCTTTAAGGGCTACTACCCTTTTCTAGATTGCCTGCATGCCCAGTTCCTCACCGTAAGAAGAGCCCTGCTGGATCAGACCAGCAGTCTATCTAGTCCAGCACCATGTCCCACACAGTGGGCAACAAGTTCCTCTGGAGGGCCTACAGGGCATAGAGGCCAAGGCCTTCCCTTGATGCTGCCTCCTGTTTACTGCCTCTGAATGTGGAGGTTCCCTTTAGTCACCATGTCTACTATCCACTGGTACACCTGCCCTCCAGGAATCTGTCTAATCCCCCAAAGGGAGACAGGTGGCTCCCGACTCTGTTGTGGGTCAGCAGCTGGGTGGTGGGGGACTAAATGCAAAAGCCTCATCGTTTTTACATGGCCTATAATGAGATGAAAAAACTGGCCTTGGGCCTGCCTCCAAATGCCATCCAGGCAGCCCTGGGACAAGACACCGCAGGTCGCCCCCCATGACTTGGGAACAGTGACCCATTCTTCAATGGCCTTGCAAGGACAAAGATGGAATTATTAAAGGATTGTAGCCCCCAAAGGGAGATGGATCACATTTCTAAGGTGCCTGACCTTTGTCTCAGCACAGCTTCCAAAGCTGATAGGACTCCTGCCTTGAGGGGGGGGTTGGGGGGGGGAGTGAGGGAGAAGGAGGGCAAGAACTTCCATCTCAAGGAAGGGGTCTCCAAATTCCAGCTCATTCAGAACTATGTCGGTCCAAAGCACTTCCCTCCATGACTAAGGGAAGGCTTTTCCTCAAGGCAGTTCTCCCTGAGGACATGCCTACACTCCCCCTCCCCCCCCATACAAGAAAGCAGGGGGGAGCAGAACAATCCCCACCAGGCTGAACAAAGTTTTCAGTCTAAAGCTTTTTCTTCCACTCCTGCCCCCCAGGCTCTTTCATCACCCACTGGAATTGTAAATGAAAGCAGGCCTGGGAGGAGAGTCTCCTTTGTCCCCAGGCAGCTTCACTTTACACTTCAGAGGCTGCTACTTTTCACAAGTAGTAAATCCTGTTCAGCCCAAATCTCCCCACCCCCATTCAGCCAGAGAAAGGGGCTCAACACCTCCCCACCCAGCAAGCAAAGAAAGAAAGAGGGTCCCCCCTCCAAGGCAATTCGCACAGAAGGCTCAGCTGAGCCTCAAAAGCCATCCAGCCGCCCAGTATTCATGCCTCAGATGAACTGGCGGGGCTTTTACAAAGGAGAGGGGGAAAGAGTTTAAGGGGAAAGGTTATCTCAGTGGAGCACAAAAGGAACGGGCCCTGACCTCATCATTCACTAGAAATCAAAGTGAAGGGCCCATTCCTCAGTCTTGGGAAGAAGCTTACTGTTGGGTTTATTGTGCCTGAAGCTTTCAGAGGCAAGAACTGCCAGTGAGTAAGCTCATGGTGATAGAAGGCAGACAAACCAGTAATTGGCTAGCAAGGGAAACAGGGAGGCTCCCTTATAGGAGCGCGGTTTAAAATGGGACATGTCCTTGATCACTGCCGGTTAAAAAGTGTGTCTAAGAACAAGAATTGGAGCTCCAGTATCTTACAATTGGCGGTCTGTTAATGAATCTTACCCCACTTGCCCTCAGTAGCCAATATAGTTTTGCAGAACTGCATGCAGATTAATAATTGGCTACCAGATGCATTTTAGGACTACTGCTGGGAACATTTTGGATACTGCCATTTCCCCCAGGATTCTTGACCTTAGAGAGGATAGTTCGGCACCTCTAAAAAACCACCTGGGTAGAGCTCCTTCTCCAAAAGCAACACCCTCCTCCACATCAGCACAACAGAAAACAAAGCTCCCTCAGCCTGGTAGCAAAGCAGAACAAGACACCCAATAAAGCAGTATCTGCAGGAATCACTGCACCCATATCAGCATCAGCTGTGAGAAATGGGGAATTTCAGCCATGCATGTAAAAATGGTCTTGTTTTGGGCACCTCACTGGAGCTGGAGATATGAGCACCATACAGCACTGTTCTAAAACTCTGAACAGATCACCAATGCAATACTTGCTGAACCCAACAGAAACTTCTCAATGACTCTCCTCTTTATGTCTCTAGTCTGTGGTATCTGTGGCAGTTTCTAGAAGATGTCACTTTGACAAGGACAGACTGGCACATGGGCAAACCGCACCAGCTCAAATGCCTTCTTCTTCATAGCCATTCAGAATTACAGGCCTCTTGCCCACCTTTCTTTTGCCATCGAGTTACAACCAACTTAAGGTGACCCTGCAGGGTTTTTAACACAAGAAGACGGTCAGAGGTGGTTTGCCATTGCCTGTCTCTGTGTAGTGACGCTGGTACCCCTTGGTAGTCACCCATCCAAATACTGACCAGGGCTGACCCAGCTTAGCTTCTGAGACCTGAGACAATCAGGCTAGCCTGGGCTATCCAGGTCAGGGCTGCCTGTGCCTACTCTACACCTAGCATTTCCATGTCAGGCTTGCTCAATGACTTTTGAAGGAGAGGGACCCTAAGGGCTGGTGGAGGACACAGTTGGGGTATCGTCCTACGTTGGTCAAAGTGCCAAGGCACTGGCAGTTTTGAAATGACAGTGCATTAAAGGCAGCACCAGCCTATTCCTTCTTCTTGAGGAATTCTGTGGAAGGTGGGGGGGGGGGTTCTTGCACAAATTCAGTTCCACTGGGGCTTACACAAGACTTTACCCACAGATTGTGTCCTAGGATCTTTCCACTCCTCTTGAATGCTAAAAGTGGCTCTGTATTCCAACATCTGATGTGCCAGACTATTTTCTGCCAGGTCGTCTTCTTCCTGCACATGAATGCTTTACACACTAATGGCTACGTTAAACATTTACCACTTGCTTTGCATTTTGCAGTTTCCTCCTTCCAAACTCCCACTGTGTGCATAATATCATTTCCCCATTAATAATAAAAAAAACCCTTGGCTAGCAGGCCTTTCTTCCTCCAAGCATGCTGGAAACTGGCCAGAGCAGGGCTTGGACTCTTGCTGCTCCCTCCTCCTCCATCCCTGATTGGCTTGGACTCTAATCAGTCATTGAGCACTCACAGCCAGCTTCCCCCCCCCCCCCAATATGCTTATTGTCTGCATCTGTTGCTTTTTGTTTTGGGGAAGCTCATGGGGATGGCTGAAAACAGCATCTGAGGAAGAAACCAAAGGGGGGAGGGTAATGTCCAGGTCAACAGAGAGGCATGATTAGAGTGAATCAATAACACTCCCCACCTCCCCTTTGCTAATTGAGATTAAGCCTCGATCTGCCTATCACTTAATGTAATTAAACCTTATACCCAATTTGAGCAGGGCTGGAGCTGAGAAGCAATCTTGGGAGTGAGTCATATGCAGGCTCTGCTCACCCAGTGACTCAACCCAGGTTGCCCATTTCGATGCTGCACCAACTTTCAAGCTAAACCTTCCCTTAGCTCCCTGACAGTGCTGCACAGAATTTGTGCGTCTCACAAGTCTGCATGCACGTGAAAGCTTATACCCAGAATTAAACTTTGCTGGTCTTAAAGGTGCTGCTGCACTTAAACTTTGCTTTACAACACGTATCAATTCAATTTACCTTGTCATACTTGCTTTTTAAAAAAAAACTGGGGTTCTTGCACTGTGCCCTGACCCAGATAGCCCAGGCTGGCCTAATCTCATCAGATCTCAGACCTGGCTAGTATTTGGATAGGAGATCTCCAAGGAATATCAGGCAATGGCAAGCCACCTCTGAAGGTTTCTTGCCTTGAAAACCCCACAGGGTCACACCATAAATTAGCTGTGGCTTGACGGCATTTTCCATCACTACCACCACACTCTGCAGATATTTTAGCTCAAACTCCTAGTATTAGCTTAAAAGAAGATCCCAAACACTTTCTACAGAAGCTCACAAACAAGGTGAGAGGGTCATTTGTGTGCATCAAACCTCCTGTACTGGGTAATGGTTTGTGCACTTTCCCCATCATTTATAAGTTGCGGAGATACAGCAGCTTACAGGAGGAGAAATTTAGATTCCAGGTGATGGATCAAGCTGCCTTGGCAAAGGCAGAGGGGGATCCCCTTCCATGGGGACTTGCAGGAAGCCGACAGCTGGCCAGCATCCTTTCTACACCTCATGTCCTTGAACACTTGCCGCAAACAGGCTCAGACACCAATTGGCTCATTCTCCCCTCCCCCCCATACACACACTGCTAAGAGGCTAGAGACTAGCTTAATATATCTTCAGACATATTTACAGGCTCTTGGGAACCACTTTGTAGGTTTAGCTTAGCATGCAAGAGACTGTCTCCCATCCAATCCCTGCCACTCGCACACATTAGTCTTAATACAAGGGGCAACATTGCCCCCTCAGTATGCTCTCAGATCTTTACAGTGTTAACACGATATAATACTCCAGCAGTTATAATACTTGTTATTTATGAAGCACCACAGATTATTCTTCCAAAGCAGCAAGGTAAACACAGATTCCCAGGAGCCCCAACAACCAGGCACCTGGGATTTCAGCCACTTCTTAGATAATGTAGCATTAAGTTGGGGGTAGTTAAGTCCTGCTAGACATTTATTTCTGGCGCTACTGAACTACAACTCTACAGATCTAGGTGGGGCCTGGAGTTCTCTTGGAACAACTGCTGATTTCCAGACTACAGAGACCAGCCTCCTGGAAAGAACGGCAGCTTTGGAGGGTGAACTCTATGGCACCACATCCCTGCTGAGCTCCTTTACTTCTCCAAACTCCTATCCAGGAATTTCCAAACCAGAGTTACCAACCTTTTGAAAGTCACTGTAAAATCTTATTTACTTACACAAAGCCTTGAGTCTGAGATAAACTGAGATGTTAAGACATTCCTTTTCAATTTAAACACCAAAAGAGTCCTAGCATGATAAGAGGCCCAAGGGCACCGTTCCACCCCCCACCCCCACCCCCACCGGAGGAGAACGCCATAAGGTTCATAAAACAGGGCCTCTCCATCTCCAGACACAGAAGTCTGGGGTTTACAGCTTGCCGTTATTGTGAAACAAAAGCCTGCCTGTTTCCTACACAGGAGAAGGAAGTGCTCCTTTCAGATCCCTTGCAAGAGCGCGAAGAAGCGCGCCACCTGGTTTCCCACAGGCTGGGGCGGGTGGGGGCTGGGGAAAAGGTTGGGCAACCGGGAGGGCCTCGGGTGCAGCAGAGCTTCAAGGATAAAGCACAAGGGCCGGGCTCAGAAAAGTTGTGCAAGCGAGGAAGGCGGCGGGTAGCCGGGGGCGGTGCGTGCAAAGCAGGGCCTCCCAGAGGTCTCCGGGCAGAAACAAGAGTCGTTCCAGCGGGGGGGGGGGCGTTTAAATCCTCGCCTCCACCACTCGGGGCCGGCGGGCAGGTGCCTTCCCCACCACGACCAATTTGCGAGCACATGTCTCGGCGGCGCCCCGCTTTCGCAAGGCTGCGCGACTCGGGCACGCCGCCAGCCCACGCCCCTCCTTGCCCGGGCTCCGCCTTACCCGAATCGCTTGGGCTCTCCGAGCCGGACGAGGTCGGCACTTTGCCGTCGGCTAGGAGGCAGGGTAAGACGGCGGCGGGGTCCACGCACTCGCCGCCTAGCCCCAAGTCCGACCCGAAAGAGGGCTTGGCGGCGGCGGCCGATCCGGCCCACTTCTCCGTCAGCGCCTTGCCCAGGCGCTCCCGGGCCGAGAAGCCGCTCCACATGCAGTCGCGCAGGACGAAGGCGCTTAGGTTGCCCAGCAGCCCGCCGGGCTCCAGCAGGTAGTCCGCATCATCGCGGGCCGGGCCGGCGCCCAGCAGGGGCGGTGGGGGCACCAGCTCGAACTTCTTCCAGATGTCCTCGCTGGGCGCGCTGGAGGGATGGAAGTCCTCTGCCTGCGGGTCGGCCTCGAAAAAGTAGGGCTGGTGAGGAGGGTCCAGCTCCATTGCCGGCTCCGCGCCGGGCACGGACGAGGGGCCCGCCGGCCACCCGCCGCCCCTTCCCACGTGCAAGAATGGAGCAGGAAGCTGGCGAGGCAAAGCGCGCTCAAACAGCGTCTCGGGTAAACGGGGGCGCTCCTCGTGAAAGTAGACCTTCGATCCGGACTGCAGAGACGCCCCCGCCTCCCCCTTAATCCGGTTCCTTCGCCTGCTCCCGGCAGCCGCCGCCAATTTCTTTTACAAAGCGACCCAGCCAGGATCGGAGAATGCATTGTTTGAGCGTTGCCTTATACCGCGTCGGGAGTCTCTTGCCCCGCCCGCATCAGAAGCCAAACCAATGAGGGACGAGAGATTTGCAAAGTGGGCGGGCCCTCGCCCTTAGCTTCACCCATCTGGGCATTGCCCCGAACGGGCGCGGGCATCTGGTTGCAGAGAGTAGCGAGGTGTAGCCGGGATAGAATCCGACAAACTGGCACTTTCCAAAAAGTGATGGTGCCAAGGTTTAGGCTTCCAGGATGAACCGGGGCTGACTGGTAACTTCGAGGTCAGAGCAAAGTGGCACTCAGCACAGGCTCATTGGCTCTGTCTCCTGTTTATTCAAATTAAGCCTTTGCTTGATAGAGTCTATTCGTCCTCTTTGATGCAGAGAATAAAACAGCCAGGCTGGCACAGAACATTGAATGAAATATATTTGTGTAAGCTTTTGAATCTCAGTGGACAGAATGACTTGAGATTTTTGTATAAAGTGACAGTTGTGCACCCTCTGGAATGCAACACAAGTTAGTGTTTTGGTATGAGGAGCTGTGGTGGCTCAAGTGGTTAAGACGCTGAACTGCAGGCTGTGGAAGGTCAGTAGTTTAGCAGTTCGAGACCCAGGTGCCGCATGATGGAGTGAGCTCCTGTCTCTAGTTCCAGCTCCTGCCAACCTAGCAGTTCGAAAGCAAGAAATTACAAGTAGATAAATAGGGACCACTTCGGTGGGAAGGTAACAGCGTTCCGTGCGCCTTGGTGGTTAGTCATGCTGGCCACATGACCACGGAAACGTCTTCGGACAGCGCTGGCTCTTCAGCTTTGAAACGGAGATGAGCACCGCAACCCTAGAGTCGGATTCGACTGGCTTTCGAGCAAGGGAACCTTTACCTTTATGAGGTGAGAGGGCTGAGATGTAAGGGATACATCCACATGACAAGTAAAAGAACCCTGCTTTGGTGTCCAACAATCAGTTAGGAACCTTGGCCCTGCCCAGCCTGGGTTTCATCTCACCTCTTCCATTGGATTAATTGTGCTGTCTTAGACAAGACCCTTTAGCCAGACTTCTGGCATCCTCTCTAAAATGGGGGCATCAAAGACTGACAACTTTCCCCTGAGGATGGACCAGATGGAGATTGTAAAGCGTGCTGAATATGCCACCCTAGTCTTTGAAACCACAAGAGAAGTAATTTTAGAAAATGCATTGGGAAGGAACAGTGAAAAAGAGATAATGAAACCAATACTGTGGTGGCACCTGCTGCCGAAACAGATATCTTAATCTGAACAGCCAATCGGACTTCCAGTGACCAATCAGAAATCCTGATGGCCCTGTCCAGTTTTAAAAAACACTTGATGGGCACCAGAAAAAGTGTCAGCAGGCAGCACGGCACCCACAGGCAACATGCTGGGGATTCCTGGGTTAGACTGTCGGACTAGAATCTGGGAGGTAAAGGTAAAGGTTCCCTTGCTCGAAAGCCAGTCGAATCCGAGTCTAGGGTTGCGGTGCTCATCTCCGTTTCAAAGCCGAAGAGCCAGCGCTGTCCGAAGACGTTTCCGCGGTCATGTGGCCGGCATGACTAAACACCAAGGCGCCACGGAACGCTGTTACCTTCCCACCGAAGTGGTCCCTATTTATATTCTTGCAATTTCTTGCTTCGAACTGCTAGGTTGGCAGGAGCTGGAACTAGAGACGGGAGCTCACTCCGTCATGCGGCACACTCAGGTCTTGAACTGCTGATCTACTGGCCTTCCGCAGTAGTTGAGCCACTTGAGCCACCGCAGCTCCGAATCTGGGAGACCCAGGTTCAAATTCTCACTCTGCCATGGAAGCTTGCTGGGTGACCTTGGGATAGTAGTCCTATGCTCTCAGACTAACCTACTTCTCAGGGTTGTTGTGAGGATAGGATGGAGGAGGGAGAGAACAATGTAAACTGCTTTGGGTTGCCGTTGGGGAGTGTCACAGTGTATAAATGAAGCAAATAAATAAAATAAAACTCACTTCCCAGCAAATGAAGGCTGCACGAGGGTTACAAAGCATCATTATAGTAAATTATGACAAGAGACAGTATATTTTGCCCAAGGGACAGTTTAGTTGGCAAGAAGACACCCCCCCACACACACACACACACCATCTCAGGAGTGAAACAAAGCTGGAGTCAGGGGTACGGCAGCCTAAGAGAACTGAAAATCTTGCATGCCCCTTAAGAACCTTGGGCTCCATTAAAATGTAATGCAGGCAAAGGAAAACACTACCCTTGCAACACAGCCCAGCTGAAACAAGTTGCTCTGTGAGTGCAAAGCCCCAATTGAGAGTGCTTTGCCTCGGCCAGTATCAAGATTAAACAAACCTTGGTGGATCATAATAAAGACACAGTTTTACTATTAGTGTAGTTTCTTGTCTCTTTCCCACAATGTCAAGGGAAAGTTTGTCTAGCTGAATCCTAACTTGCTGTTGAACACTGCCATCATCTGGTGATTCAATAGCAGTGTACATGGAAGGGAACTGCCTTTGGATCATAAGGTTGTGCCAGTGAAAACCACATCAGAGACCCAAAAACCTTCCAATCCAGGAATGAATCCTAGATAATCTGGCACTGGGATCTGGCTTGGTGAGGAGGAAGGTGCTGCATCATCATACCTGTATTGGCCAAGCCCCTAGGTGCAGCAATAGATCAGACCCAGGGGCTGAGATATGTTCTCCTGTGCCCATGTGAGTGGAATTGCCATAGTCTACTAGGCTAGCCTGACTTTATCAGATCTCAAAAGCTAAGCAGGGTTGGCCCTGGTTTGTACTTGGATGGGCAAGCCCTGAGGAAGTCTACGGTTGCTATGCAAAGTCAGGCAATGACAAACTACTTGTTTGTCTCTTCCTGATGGCATTTCTCATCCATAGCCCTGTGTAGTGTGAAAATAATGTACAGAAACACCAGTCAACGAGCTGCAGAGAGGATAGTGATGGTGTTGGAGCCCAGAGGACTCCTGCCAGCATCTGCCCAGCATGGAGCAGCATGCCTTTCCTGGCAGACAGAAGACAGCTCTCCAACACATGCTCATGTATCCATACCCTCCTGATGTTGGGTTGCCCCCATCCAGCCATAAAACCCTCCAGGGGAAGGAACATAGCACCCTCCTCCATCTGGCCCCAGAGCACACACACCCCACCAAAGAGCTCTGCAGAAGTAGGTTTGAGTCCCCACTTGTGAAGTTCCCATTTGGCAGGCATGTACAAACGAAGAAAGAAACGCAGACCCTGCAACCACTGCTCTCACATGCTTCTGGTGCACACCCTGCTGAGGAAGCCATGAGAATGCACCCAAGACCTCTCCTGCATAAAGATCTGGGGCTTATACCTGGCAAGAGGGAGGCAGATGCTGGGTGGGGCAGCCACTGATGCACCTTCCCAAAATGCAGTTGGGCTGTTGACCCCAATTGGTTACTGGGGGAAAGCAGAGGTCGATTCGGGGGGGGGGAACGCAGGGGATCGCAGTTCCCTCAGGTGAGGTGCACACGACAAAGCCCCGCCCCCTGCTTCCGGCCACCCTGCTTCCAGCCCTCATTCAGCCAGGAGGAGGCAGGAGAGGGGGGGGGTTAATTTGCTCCCCCCCCGCCTCTCCCCACCCCTGCCTGCCTGGGGCCAGGGAGGGCCTTGGCGGGGCTTCCTCGCACTCCGCCGGCCTTGCAGGTCCACCGCCCAGGGGGTGTGGCATATGCTAATGAGTTATGCTAATGAGTTCCCCTAGCTCATTTTCTACGAAACGACCCCTGGGGGAAAGCATTTCTGTGGCAAATGGGAACCACAGAATCAGCTCCCTATCATGGAAAGCAAAGCTGACCTTTTTGGCCAGCAAGAGCAAAACAGGCAGCAAAGGCCAGACTGGGACCCACACCTCACACCCTCTGGAGTAGTTCTCTAACCACACTCAGCACACAGTGACGGAGAGTGCCGTCAAGTTGCAGCCAACGCATGGTGACCCTACAGGGTCTTCATGGCAAGAGACATGCAGAGGTGGGTCACGATTGCCTGTCTCTGGGTAGTAAGTCTGGATTTACTTGGTCGTCTCTCATGCAAGTCCTAACCAGGGCCTTCAC